AGAGCAGCAGAAATAAGATCAAGAACTAAGTGGGGGAAGGGCAGGGGAAAGCGTGTCTGAGGAATCAGAAGATGTCCACTTGGAAAAGGAGCCTGTGTCCAAAAGAACAAGTTCCCTTTCTGATCTGGAACAGAATCCAGTAGTCCAGACTCCCAGTAGCCCACTACTGCCAGCAGTTAACCACAAAGTCCACTGACTGACTGTGCTCCTCTCACACTCCTGATCAGCCAGGAAAAAGATGACAACCAACTGCTGCCCCTTACTTCACTGCTCAAGTCAAAGGCACCTGCACAGACTACTACTGCATTACCCCTGTGTACATCGTTTGGATTTTTGCCTTCTGTGACAGCTCTCTCAGAAGATCTCGCAAGCTTTTATAGACCCACTCGCACATAACACTGTGAAGAACGTTGTTCAGGCTGCAATAAGAGTACTTCAAGATTGAGAAAAACCCTGAAATAAAAACCAATTGGGTGATGGAAAACCTTATGGCTTATGCACACATGTCACACCACACAGCCTTTGGTTCCTCATGCACAGTCGTCCAACATCCCTGTTGTGTTCAACATACAGCATAAACAGCGGTCAAGCAGCTGGAGACAGATTTTGTTTTCCACACAGTTCAGTGCCTGATTGTCCTTACCAGACACACCAGACTTACTGAGGAAAATACAACCTTCCCTTTCTGAATAGCTAGATAGAGGAGCTTCAAGTTTATAAACAACATATTGACCAGAGGCTGAGAGCAACATGCTTGTCTCTGGGATTCATTTAAGTATTGCAGCACCTGTCAGCTTCTCAGCAGCTGAGCTTCAGCACCGAACTCTGCACAAAGCCCTACCCAAGAAGATGGGCAATAGAGAAGCCACTTGGATTTCACAGACCAGCCTATAGTTAGTAACCGAACCATAAAAATTAAGCCTTGCATGTCCTTCAGATCTTTGTGAGGTTTTTTGAAACGTGAGCGGGAAGCATAGTACAGCTACCATATTCTGCAGTGATCTGTCTTGGTAGAATTGAAAACCAATCTCATACACACACAAAAAGTAAAAATGCAGCTACTGCAGCTGTATCAAGTGATATGTAGTAGTGATTGCTGCCTTCAGGGGTTCAGAAAAGAGCTTGCAATGATTTACGATGTCTCATTTTCAAACAAAACCAAGATCAGGAATGCATTTAAAACCCAGGAACAATCAAGAACATTTAATCCTCTCTCATGTTTCACTCATGTATGGTTCAGTCACCAAAAATTTGAATCACTCTTAAAAAAAAAAGGTCAAAATCATATTATTACAGCTGTCCTCATAAAATACTATAATCATACAAAGTCATTTTGTAGGGACACCTGCAATAACATACTAGCAGAAACCCTTGAACATAAAGTTATGCTACGGTATTTGCTTGATTTTTACTTTCTTATATTTTATTGTTGTAAGTGTGCTCCCCTTTGTTGTAGAAGTAAACTGATGATAAAGCAATATCAAACCAAAACTGACTATCTATTTTGGCATGGCTTGAAAAACCACAGTGCTCTCCTTACTGTGCATAGCACAAGTGCCGGACATTTTTTTTCTGTAAATAAGGGTCTTGTCCAGGTTATGGGTTAAAAGAATGTAAAGGGAAAGGTCTGAAATATTCAGACAGAATTCTGAAGCTTAAACTTTCAACATAGTTCTCAAAGCAATATGATGATATCAGTTCACAAATAGCTTAAGCAGAAGTCCAGCATAGTGGTAGTCGTCTCAGGCTACGTAACAGGCCTTTCAAAAGAGTATGAAGTAACAGAATTGAAATGTATTTGGCAAGATGCCACCACTCAGATGATATCCCAGCCTCACGGATATGTACAGTACACAGCAATACCTCATCTCATACTATGCGGCACTGACATTTCTTCTGTCAAACCAAAAATAGCTATAGCAAAAGTAAATCGAGCCCCACAGTGGATGCCAGTAAGGCCTCCGCATGTTATACACACTATGGTATATTTAAAAAAAAAAAAAAAAAGACAAAGACACCAAGTTGAAGAACAACAAATGGACTTTCACATTCACCAGCAGTGCAGGGAAAGCCTTTTAGAAAAGAAGGAGGCTCAAGATAGGGGTTCAGAGAACAAAAACCCACACAACTGCTTTCCAAATAGTGCAGAAGCGAGCACCAAACTAGGCAGACTTCCTGCCAGGATGCAACACATCACCACAGTTCCTCAAGCCTTTAAATTCCACGAAGACTTGGAGTATCTTATCCTACAGAAGTGTATGTACTAGCCGCCTGCACACAGCCCAAACCACCAAAGCTGGAGAAAAACAGAGAAACTCTACCAGAAGCCAAATTCTAAGTAGCAGCTTAAATGGCTTAAAGAAAAAAAGGAAAAGACAAAAGTTGAACATAGGAATAGAAGCACAAAACTTACTTCAAAGAATTTAGCTATTCAAGCAAGCTGTCAGAAGAATACTGATAATCAGAGTTAACACTGATGCTGACCTCCACCCTTTCTGGATAATTGAGACCCACTAGAGCTCTCACATTTGCATGCTAGACTACACAAAAGAAATTGAGACATCATGAATACCTCTTTGGTGGCTAAACCCCCACATCTGTACAAACCAATGAAGCCAACAAATTTTAAAAAAATCTGCAATTTCACTTCACAGGACATGGCTTGTATGTCCAGAAGAACCACAAGGACCCCCTCCTTTGGTCTCCTCCAGTGGAATAGAACATGCCAAACTGCCCTTGGATTTTAACTCCTGCTCAAGGGTTGCTTTAGTCTGCTTTGCTAAAAGCCCAGACTTCAGCAATAAACTCTCTACTAGGAGTTGGAGTGAGCTCCAGGAAGAACCTCATGTCTTTGGTGTGTGTTCTCCACACTAGGGAGCCAATTGGCAAGGCAGCCTTCAGCCCCACAGCCAGAGCAGGCAGAGCTCACAGAAATACCGTATCAAGCTAAGGCAGGAGGGGAAAAAAAAAAAAATAAATGAATGAATGAATGAGTAGTATTCAGAAGAGCAGCACTCTCTGAATCTATATTCGTGTAGAGACTAGTACAACAAAGCCCATGAAGAGTTCAGCTTTTAAACACCATCATAATGCAAATATTTTCTGATGGCACCTCTGCCATCCCCAAGGAGCAAGAACAGCCTGCTATGCCTAAGCCACCCTGTCTGGTCATGGAAAGGTAAGCAAAAGAAGACTCCCCAGAAGACTGTCACTCCCACAGCTGCTGCACACCAAGAAAGTGTAAATGGTTTAGGACACAAAGAAGGTAAGTGTCTCTTACTCCTAAGTGGGAAGCAGAAAGCAGAACAATGCATTTCAGCCAGAACAAAACCAGCATCTGCTATCCACATTTGATTCACAAGCAGGATTACTTTATGATAAAGACCAATACACTCCCATTTTTAAGGTATCTTGAGGGAATTCTCCATATAGGAGAAGTATACTGTAATTCTGGATTTTAAAAAAGCTTTTAAAAAAATGTTGGCTCCAGAATTATGTTCTACTCTTCATCTGTCCGCTCTGTGACAAAACCAAACAGAAACAACCCTTATGAGTTGCCTTATGACTACTCCAAACACAAGTGTTTGCTACGCCTACAGCCTGTCCAGGTCAAATCGGTTACCTCTTGCAGGGGACCAAAATCTATCTCCTTTTAAGATACCAGGCACTAGCATCCCCACACAAACCCAAAATTTAATTCACCTACATTGGAAAGTTTATTTACTGGGAGCCAAGAAGTGGACACACTGAACACCTCCATTAGCCTGGGTACAACTTCATCTGAAAACTCACAGCAAAGGGCAAATTACACACCATTCCTGGCTTCCCAGTCCTGCCACCTCCCTACAACTTGATCTGGGGATTGCAGGTCTGATGGATCAGGGCATTTGTAGTCTGACCTGGCTCACCGCTCAGCCCTGTGATCATCCACTTTGACATGAAGATGGTGGGGTAAACTCAGGGTGGGAAAGAGGTCAATACAATCACCCCTTTCGGCAGCAGTCAGAGCAGATTCAGTGTTTCGCAAAACCACATCCCAAGCTAAGCAGTTACCCAACTCACAAGAGAAAAATCATAGTACTCTCAAATCAGAAACACAGAAAGCTAATGTGACATTTATCAAGTAAGAACATGTTTCAGATTTGAAAGCACTTTGTATGGTCTTCTATCAGAGGTTGCTGCAGTCAAATAGAAATGCGTTGTGAAAGTTAATCAAAACATGTTACTTCTAAGGTGTTTGTTTCAACAGCCATCCAACACATGGAAGCACATCTTTATGAGTGCAGTGGAACTACCCAGATGAGTTTTATGCTCACTTTCAAGGGTTTAAAAAATCTGGGCAACACCTGTCAGATCCATTTGCTGGCACAATATTGCAGAGGGCATTTCTGCAGAACGTTTCTGTAAGCAAGGCCCTGAGCATGTGAACTGCACACAGGGGTTTTTCAAGGAGTCTGATGTAAACTACACTGAAAATGACTGAAGCTGTACAGATTTGTGAGAGCCTTCTCTAGTCTAGATTACAAACTTCCCAGAGGTGCCAAACAAGACCATCGTGGCCAGGAGAAGAGCCAACAAGCAAAAACACACAAAGCCAATAACATTTATAACAGTCCTTCTTCAAGGCAGCCAGTAGCTGACCCCAAGAGATAAAATCCAGTAAGTCTTGCTGCATTCCCAAGCATATTGCTGGAATTAAAAATGAAAGACAACTAGGAAAATCGAACAAATGAACATACTGAGAGAAAGCTAGCATGTTTTCTGTAAAGGCAAGAGCCTCCTGCCCAGGGCAGCAGCCTAGAGGCCTCTTACACACAAAGGCTGGGGGCATGGGGGTGTGTCTGTGTGCCTGTCTCTGTGTGTCTGTGTCTCTGTGTGCACAGGGTCACAACCACTGCCCCACTGCGCTACAGAAGTCAGGCACACCCAAGCAGGGAGCCCGCCATCCACGCAGAGCATGGAAGCCCCCACCATCTGCCACAGGCCGAGCAGGTACTCACATCCTCCCCACGCCCTCGTACATGCGGGTCTCATCCACCAGCATCATGACCTCCGTGTCGGTGAGGTGGGCGTGCTTCTTCGTCTTGCTCAGCTGCTCGATTTGGATGTCGGCCAGCTTCACCTTCTGCTGTGTGTCTATCACCTTGGCCTGCAGCTCGGTGAAGGCCTAGGGGGGGGAAGAGCAGCGGCGATGAGGGGCGGCCCTGACAGCGGCCAT